CTTCCCTCCTCAGAGAGCCCTTCCAAAAGGTAGCTACAGAAGCCATGTGAATCAGCAGAGCAGAACACCACAAGTCCCACTACAGCTTGACACCCACCAGTCAGGCTCAAGAATTTCTGCCCCAACTCCCACACTTTTCACTCTAGTTCATGTCTTTTTCAAAACTTCAAAGCTACATCTAATTTGTAGCCCAGGAACACATAAAATCACACCTATAACAATATGATTAAGCTGTATATTCATATCAGTTAAAACAAATCAAAATTACACTGAAAGACAATGTGAACAAATAAATCATAGTTAATGCTTTCATTTCCAAAGGAAATAATGGGCCTAATGCTATCATATACAAACCCCCCTAAAAGTTTTCTAATTGTTACACTTGTTGCTCGTCACAGAGAATAAACAAAGAACTCACCCATATATGAAAACTTATCTTCACTGACTGTTGGTATTGAGCCTACTGACTGTTTTTCATCATGTTTTACACGCTTTGCAATCTGCTCTTCATTGGTAGACTGTTCATATGGCCTTTTACATGCACTGCAACACATGGTATTTAATTCTGGTTCCTCTCTCTGGCTACCATTTTCCTGTGTTACAGCTGGAGGACCAAATACCTCTTCAAAAAGAAAAAAAAAAAAAAGTTAGGAAGTTGAGCAAAATCAAATTTTATTTGAAACGACTGCTTCTAAAGATTCTAAAGACAACAGTTGTTAGCAACTATTATCAATGTTAGTCCGTTAACTGACACCCGCCCCCTCCCCCAGAAACACCTTCACTGCACCGGCACACCCATCGCCGTGTCCGGAGGTGCCAGAGTGACGAGGCACGAACGGGGCTGGTGCCGGTTTCGGCGGCGGCAGCAGCGCTGGCAGCGCCGCCGTGCCCGCCCCGATTCCCGGCGGGCCGCCCGCCCCGCTCCCCCTCCTACCTGCCGGCCCGGGCTGCTGCTGCGGCCCCGCCAGGCCGCCGCGCACGAAGCTCCAGGCGTCCTCCTCGGTGGCGAACTTCTTGAAGCTAGCGGACGGGAACTTGTTCACCTGCTCCTGGCACTCCGCCCTGCAACAGAGCGCGCAGCGGTGAGGCCGGGCCGGGCGGGCTCCCCGCCCCACCGCGGCCCCCGCTCACCAGGTGCGGTAGACGCCGGCCCGCCGGCCCTTGCGCACGGCGTAGAACATGGAGCCGGCGCGGGGCCCGAGGCACGAGTGGCTGAGCACGGCCACGAGCCAGCGCAGCATCCCGCGGCCGCGCCGCCATCCGCCCCGCTGCGCCTGCGCGGCCGCCGCGCTCACGGCAGCGCCGGGCCGCCTACGGGCCGCCAGAGAGGCCAAACTACCACAAAATGCACAGCGCAGGGGTTTGTGTGGCTCGGCTTTTTTGTTTGGTTGGTTTTGTTCCCTCCGCCCGCCAGTAATGGTATTTTTAAAACCTAAATCAGCTGTTGTTTTGGGGGTGCGGCATGAGGTGTATGGGTCGCAGCGGCTCTGCACAAGCCACCTCGCTCTGGAAGCCCCATTTGCTAAAAGGCAAAGGAGCCTTCTCGGGTGCACGGACGTGTCCAGCACGTCCGAAGGGCTGGAGCTGAACGAGGTGGTTTAGCTGGTTCTCACCCGGCTGTCCGGGCTCCAGGTGCGTGTGTTCCTCTGAGGAGCCGAGGTGGCTCTGGGGTGAGGAGAAACTCCTCCACGGAATCGCAGGGTCCTTAGGGCCGGGAGCGACCTCTGGGCATCATCTGCCGTGGCAGGGTCAGCTGGTGCAGGTGACACGGGAGCACGTCCTGGCGGGTTTTGAATGTTTCTAGAGAGGGAAATTCCACGATCTCCCCGGGCACCTCTGAAAAAAATTCTTTGTCATGTTGAGGTGAAACTTCTCATGTTTTAGTTTATGGTGACTACTCCTCGTCCTGTCGCTAAGCACCACCTAAAAGAGTCTGGCACCATTCTCTTAGCACCTGGACTGCCATGTACTGTGAGACCAAAGCTGGGAGCTGGGTGTGTGTCAAATTCAGTACTTCAGCTTCTGACAAGGTCAAAGAAGCAACGATGGGGGCACTGGTGTGGCCACCTCCAGCAACAGCCCAAGGTATCCAAGCTGCTGTTGTACTTCCCTCATAGCTCTAGTGCAGATCCCTCTGACAAAGATGACCAAAGATGGTGCCAGAGCTGCAGTGTTGTGTTCAAGAATGCAAAACACTGGCATTAATTTTGCCTTCTGTAGCAAAACCAACAAATGGGCTCAACATTACACATAATTACTATGTGTATTAACTGGATAACATTTATCTTAAAAAAACCCCAAACCCAAAGAGCTTATGTATTTGACAGGCCTTGGTGGAACTGAGAAACACCTTGGTCAGGGTTGTATGAAAATATAATTAGTGCATTTTCCTTATTTCTTCCAACATATTCATAAGACTCCATATACTTACAACATTCTATTGCTGTTGGGATACTTTTGTTACATATCTGACTAATTTATTCTTTCCACTTCTTCATGGTGCCCTCTCTGAGACTGCATGGCATAAGAACCTTCTTAATTACATTACTTTGTAGTGACATTAACTTCTTTTAAAGATCACAGATCCACAGTGGTTCCTAAAAACCTGTCATGTATTTTGAGTACCAGGTATTATTGGGTACCAGGAACATTGATCACTCTAGATCTTCTCCTAATATAAACTCAGTGTCCAAAAGAAAACTTCTCTCTACAACTTTTTTCTCGTTGCTGTAATGCAGCATCCTGGTCTGTTCAGCGCTCAGAGCATGGAGATGGGAAGGTGCAGATAGTTTCATCTTTATTCATTATTGCTCTGAACAGTCATGTTTTGATCCTGTTTTGATCCATCCACACATCACCTCTTCTTTTTCCCTCTCATGAGTAGCTTCTCAATATAAACTGAGTGCGTACTACTGGACTGATGAGACAATTCCTTGTTATCTTTCTTTTTAGTACTCAGGTCCTGATCACTGTTGTTTAGCCAAACCAAATCTCTATAAATACTAATCCTGGCCATTGGTATGAGCTAAGTGGTTTTTTCCATTCATTTAATTAATGCTAGGAAAGAAGAGTGATTTGGGAGAAAAATGGGCACTGAACAATCTGTTTTTCAGGCTATCATAAATGTAGCAAAAATGATAATAAATTTAGTGAAATGTTAGAAAACATGATGAGCTGCATTTTGCAGATGCTAAGGTTGTTTAGTCTGGGATGTTGGTGTCTTTGTCAGTTTTTTGTTTACAAGAGCTTATTACTCCACTATTGTATTTTGTAAAGTAACAAACTACATACAGCATTACATGGTAATAGCAAATTGTTTGTACAAACTTAGGCTGGCTGCTCTTGGGGTAATCCAGGGAATCAAAGCACAGAACCAGTGCTCTGAACCCCATTCCTGGGTCTAACATCCCTGGGCAGTATGTGCAAAGAGTTGCACACCTGTCTCCAAGTGAGATCTACCCTTGAGCAAGAAACCTAAATCAGCCAACAGAGAAGTGTTAAGATGTGGATTTTTTTTGTCAAGGCAAGGTTTTAGCTCTACTTCAGATAGGTATGCAGCCAGGCACTTCTTTTAAAATTAAAAAGTACAGCTTGTTCTCTTTATCAGTGTGCAAGTGTTATTTGTTAGATAACAACACAGTATATAATAAAGAGTGCTTCCACTTGTGAAAAATGCCTATCGCATTTTTAAAGTTTAATAGTATAAAAACAGTAATAGAAATCACAGCAATAAGAATTTAGACAATCAGAGTTAGGACAATAAAGCACAATAAAACAAAGAATTACAGACATTAGGATGCTCTTGGGCACTAAGCCGTGAAAAGCATGCCTTGTGAACAAAGAATTAACCCTTAAAAGGAATAGTCTGTTGCATATTCATATATCTCATATATGATGCCTAAACTTTGTCAAAACAAAGAACTCTGTCTGGTCAGTGTCAACGTCTTCTTAATTCTGTGGCATCTTCAGGGCTGAGCAAGGCAGGATGAAGTTAGTGTATTCTGATAAGGGAGCCATTAATTATTATTTTTTTTTTCTGGAAGATTTAGGTGTCCTGTGGCTACTATCTCGATGCACATACCTCACTCCATTCTTCCCATGTACATAGTTTCTATTTTAACTACAGAAGTTCCTTTGTAACTACAAAACTACATTTAACACACTAATAAAATGTTAATACAGCATTTCAAATCAATAGAATATAATACATATAGTCAATATCTGCATAGAGCCGTATAATAAGCACTTTTCACACACTGATGACAGAGTATGTTGAGCCCAGAACGCTCATCTTGAGTTAGTAGTACCTGAGCACACCTGAAGACTCATGCATTATTTCTAGTCTAGTGACAGTCTGCTAACTGTGATCACTGTGACACTGTCTTAGCAGAAGCAACTGAGCGGTCACGAGAGGCAAACAGAAACCAAAGCCAGGCTGCCCTGTGCTGGCAGGCGGTTGCCCACACTCCCGGGTTGCCAGCACGCTCCCTGGCATGGCTTTGGCCATGGCTCTCAACACAGTGCCCCGCTGCAGGCCGGGGGTGACTGCCGGCGCTGCTCCATGGGCATCAGCGTGAACTCCCACACCACTGAATTACCATGGAATGCTGCCACGTGAGGATGGGGAAAGACTCCATCCACTCCCCCACGGCTGTTCGAGCGGTGGCTGCTGCCGTCCTGACAGCCCTGGCGGGAGAGAGGGAGACAGGAGAGGGAGACAGGCAGGCAGAGCCGCGGGCTGCGCAAACCGAGCGCACCGCGGTGCCACGGCCGGCATTCTAGCGGCTCTTCACAGGAGCGGCATTTCGACACCACAGGCCGAGAGTTCCGCCTGAGAGGTGCGTTGGGGGCGGCCCACGGCGAAGGTTCGGCGTGAGAGCGGCAGCAGAGCCGAGCAGGGGAGGCTTTCCCTCCCGCTCCGCCGCTCCCCGCCGCACGAAGCGCAAGAGCCTGAGGCGGGGCGGGAGGGCAGCTCCCACTGCCGCCCCGCGGCACTGCGCATGTGCCAGCCCGCGCCCCCCCGCGCCAGAACTCTAAATGTCCGCTCGGGCTTCGCTGGTGCGGACGCGCGGTGTGGCCGCGGTGTGCTCACAGGGCTCGCCTGCCCTTCTTCCGGCTCTGGCTTCACCGGGGTGGGCGGGGCCAGCGCCTTCCCGGGCCGCGATCTGTGCTGCTCTCGCGAGAGCTCCCCCTTTTCCCGGCCGGCGCGGAGCGAGGTGGGTGCCCGGGCCGGGGCCGCCGTTCCCCCGCCGCGGCCGCGGCGATACGGGACCGGCCGTGGAGCGGGGCCCCCCGCGGCACCGCGGCGTGGGGATGCGCCCGATTACCGCCCGCCCGGGGCCCGATGGCCGCCGGGGCGCCCGGGGCCGGGGGTAGCCTGTCGGCGGGGTTTCCCTCCTTCCTCGGCCGGCGGCGCCCCGCGGGAGGAGGGGCCGGGCCGGCAGCGGGGCCCGGGAGCGCCGTTCGCCCCTCGGGCGGCTCTTGGGGCTCTGTGCGGCTGGTGCCGCTTCCTGGGCTCCCGGCGCTTGCAGCGGGCCCGAGGCGGGCAGGCCCCGCGCTCCCGGGACGCTTTTCCTGTGGCCGGGTAGTCACCCCCGGTGCGACGTGCTGGGGCTGGCCCGGCCCGAGGGGCGTTCTCTGGCGTGCTTTTGGAGCGTGTGGCTGCGCAGCCGGATTGCAGAGTCCTGGCTGTGTTTGGAACAGGTGACACGTGCATGGTGATAGCCGAAGTGTTCTTTTGCGTTGCAGAAAGGCCATGTTCAGCTCTAGCGCCAAGATAGTGAAGCCTAATGGCGAGAAGCCAGATGAGTTCGAGTCTGGTATATCCCAGGTACGTGGCTTTTCCTTGTTATCTTCGGTAACTCACTTCAAGTTACAAACATAGTTGTCCAGACCCTAAGCCATGAGATTGATCTTGTCAGCGTGTTTTTTTTTTTTTTTCCTAGTTTTACTTGGGAACTGAGTCAGCCTCTGTTTCCATCAGTTAAACTTGTTGGATGTTGATGTGTCTTACCAGAAGTTAAGTCTTCAATATTGACTGTGGTTAAAAGTCTATACTTGCTCTTTGGCACTGTAGACACAATTTGGTCTCAGGTGTTTCTATGAACTGAAGTGTATGTAAAGGATTATTCCACAACTTCTCTTTTGTAGGCTCTGCTGGAGTTGGAAATGAACTCCGACTTAAAGGCTCAGCTGCGGGAGTTGAACATCACAGCAGCTAAGGTAGGCTGGACCTTCTCCGCTAAGAGTTGGGTGTTGACTTGTTCTGTGTATGTTTAATTTTTGTGGATGTTAATGTACTAGGTGAATTGTGTCTTCAGCCCTTATAGACTGTGGTAGTTTTGTTAGGTGCTATTGTAACTTATCTTCTGGTATTTGCTGCTAGCAGATAGGATTCTGTAATAGTGTTTTTTTTAGGAACTAGTCTGAAAAGCCACTGTAAAAGCCCAAATAGGCTTTTAGTATGTTAAATAAAAGTGTTCAAAAGCGATTATTCTACTTTATGTCTCTACAGACTGGGTTTGGGGTATGAAACTGGCTTTTTGTATGTAGATACTGGCTGGAAATGTAGGTGTTACAGAAACTTAGAAGCATAAACTGCAATACTCTGTAAAAAGCAAAATTTTTGTGAGTCTTTTATGTAGGTGGTATGTGGATTAAGGCAATAGACTGACTTGGTCGTGTAGCTTAGCCTGCTTGTACGTTTCTAGTTTTAGATCATGTGGGCAGCTGAAGCATCAAGAAAGAAAAAGAAGAAGGCAATTAGTGGAAAAGAAGAAAGTTAGTGTTAGAATTTGTCAGCCTGGGAGACTGGATGGCAGCAATGAAGCAGGTCACTGCAGTCAGAAATTTTATTGGGCTACCTTTGGTTTTTGCCCAGGCTTACCAGTACAGACACAGGGGCCTGACTGCTTAGAGTTGAGTTAAAGAATTTGGAAATACAGAAAGCAGTTTGGTGTATGAGCTGAAAGGCCTTCAGAAGAAACCACGTCTCTCTGGAAGTACAGCAGAACCAGCTGTCCGTAGTGAAATGCTTTTAGAAGAGTCTTTTTTGTTTACTTAGCTGCTTGATTTTATTTGTGAGAAATCTCCCGTGGGCATCTGAGTTGGCTCATATGAGAAGGTAGCTGGTGAAGAGCAATCCATCCTTCCATTCTGTTGGAGAATGAGGTTGTCTCTGCAGCCAGTTTCATGGGAGAAGTGCCTTGTAAACCTATGCAAACTTTGGGTTTGGTCAGCTGCTGAAGAGACAAACCAGGGGACAACCTGTACTAGTGTATTGTAATCCTGTTGGTATTTGGAGGGGGGACAGATGTTTTGATTGAGTAGTGATGCAGGCTTAGGCAAGTGGCTGGCAGAAGGAGATTTCCATGAAGCAGTAGATAAAAGTAAGAGATTTGTTGCCCTAAACTTTGTCTGGAGTCTGTATTAGAGGCAAGTAATTTTTGAAACTTTGTATCAGCACAACTGCAGATGTGATGGTAGACATTCAGTGTACTTATAGTTCTAGCACCTGGGTCTCATTCTGCAGTAGGAATGGGCTTTGCTGTTCAGAGGATGTGGTTCTGAAAGGGGTGGTGGGATTTATTGCCCAATCAGTCCTCCACAGCAAAACAAGTACTCTGATAAAAGTTTTTCTGTTCAGTGTTTTGTCTGTAGAGCATTAAGGCAGGTGCTGCTCTCTGATGCACTCCCTGCCCCAAAGAGTCAGAAGCAAGACTATCAATACCTGTACTCAGGATCCATGGTCAAACCAAACATTACTTCTCAACCCCCAGCTAATGCTTACTTTGTACTTCTGTTCCAGGAAATTGAGGTAGGTGGTGGCAGAAAAGCCATCATTATCTTTGTACCAGTTCCTCAGCTGAAGTCCTTCCAGAAGATTCAGGTGCGGCTAGTTCGGGAGCTTGAGAAGAAATTTAGTGGAAAACATGTGGTGTTCATTGCTCAGGTAAAAAACCCCTTAGAATTACAAAAATGTTGATTTGAAGGGATATCTGGAGGTGATCCAGTCCAGGCTCACATATGTTCCAGTGTTGCATTACCCATTCATGGTAACAGTGATAGTAATTCATTGTACCAGCAGGAATGTAATGAGTGTCTGGTGGATGTTAGGCAAAATGTTTTCAGCTGGCAGCAGTGAAAACTTAGTGAGATGTAAAGTTTTTCATGGAGGATAGAACCTTCTTGTTTTGGCCCCTCTTATTCCTTCAGAAGTTTGACACACAAAGCTTAGAATAAAAGGAATCAAATATTAATAGGAACTTTGCTACACTTAGACAATGTAGGTATTTAAAATTTAAATTACTAGGAAAGGAGGAAAAAAACCCCATGCAAGTTCTAAGTATATGGCAGGAGCTAAGGTGAAAAGGTGTTGGAGGGATCTCTGGGCAGTACTTAAGGGTTGGACAAACTAGGGATCTGTCTGCAGAGTGGGCAATTTGTTAAAGTGAAGTTAGCTGGAAGTTTTTAATGCATTTTTTAAAGCCAGAGCCTCTTCTTACCCTGAATCTTTATATGGCTAAGATGATTTATTTCAGTGAAGTGCCTCTGGCTCACTTCACCAAAGGTTCTTGACCCAGAGGGTGGTTGGGCACTGGAACAGGCACCTCTGGGAAATGGTCACAGCACTAGCCTGACAGAGTGCCGTGAGGTGTTTCTGCAATGCTTTCTGGTACATGGTGTGTCTTGTGGGGATGTTCTGTGCAGGGCTGGGAGCTGGACTCGATGGTCTTTGTTGTTCTCTCCCAATTCAGCATATTCAGTGATTTTTTTTTTTTTTTAAGATTCTGTGATTCTGTAATCTCTTGAGACTTACTTATAATCTGTATTTTAGAAGGGAATGTGATTTTGAGTATGACATGACCCAATGTGGATAATGGCAACCCCATCATGAATACAATCATGGGGAAGCTGTGATATGATGGTAGAAAATACTGCAGGTGGCTAAAACTGCATCTAGAATGTTTTAAAATGTCTACACTTGCAGTAGGAAAGTAGAAAATAAGTTTTACTGACCTAACATTTAGATCCTAATTTTGGAACAGGTTATATGTAAGCCAGGGTTTGATCTGGATTGTGCAATAGATCTTACTGTTAAAACTAGCATTTCGATCTCAGATGTCACTTAGCTGTTCTGTGGAACTGAGCTCAGTATTCTGGTTTGCACCAGAGGCTCAGTCTAACAGAAGTTTGAAATTGCCTGGGATTTCTGTTCCCAAAGAAGTGTGTTCACAGTGCTAATGAGACACAGTAAACTACTGTGGTTGTATTCCTGGAGAGAGAGGATGAAGTACATATCTTCTATTTCAGTGCACTGAATACAGGAGTAGTCATTGAGAAATATAGCAGTACAACACTTCACCTTCTGCAGGCAACTAGTTCTCTAGTTTGTAATGCTGGTGTAACTTTAGGCATACTTAAGTCTATCTTTTTGGCTTTTCATGCATTGGTTTCTCTGTGGGGGGAAAAGGTGCGTGTTTCCGAGTTCATTGTAACCACCAGATACTGAGAAACACCGTTTTTGTTCTTCTCTTGTCTTAACAGAGAAGGATTCTGCCCAAGCCAACAAGGAAAAGCCGCACAAAAAACAAGCAAAAGCGTCCGAGGAGGTTAGTAAATGATACTGATTCAGTATGACAACCTTCTTTTGTACCTGGTAGTTTAGTCAAGTAATGGTTAGTTGAGTTTTTGAAAAGTTATTCAAGTGATTGGGTGGTCTTGTCCTTTCTCCTACTGCTTGAAATACTGCTTTGTATCTGTCATTTGACTGCTAAAGTGTTCAGTAGAAAGGTCACCTTTGGGCACTGTGTTGCATTTCTTAGCACTCGACTTGCATATCATGCTACAGCTGTAGCAAATTTTTTAGCTAGCAGTGCTGGCTTAAGGAGCCCCAACCTGCTGTCTCTGTTACCACAGTGTGCTGACAAGAACTATTTTTTGTTTTAGTTGTAGGAAGAGCCTCTTCCACATCACATGTTAGACTGTGTGCAGAAGTCAAGGCTGGCACACTGAAGGGGATGCAATGAGGGAGAGAGTGGCTGAGGAGGGGTGTAGGTACGAGTACTAGACCCTCTGGATATTAATTTGATAGCAATAGTATAGTAATGTGTGTTAAATGGCCTCCCTGCTCTCATCTAGTCACTGGATTGCTAGACATGCAACACTGCTACATCTCTGTGGATGTCAGTGCCTCATCTGTATGTTGCTATATCATTGTGTAAGTCTGTGTCTTTAAGGTTTGTCCTGTTTATGACTTGTGGCATGTCTTGTAGTTTCTCACTGCCTCCCCAGTATTATACCTGTGTCATGTGTTACTGTATTTTGCAGTCTTCAGGCATGGATTTTAAAAGTACTTAAATAGCTGCACTCCTGCCTTTGGAAGACTCTGCCTGTGTTCTTTCAAAATTAGCACTGCACAGTGGTTAGAGAACTTGGCATTTGTGTCTGAGTAGCACACTGCCGCTTTCTGCCTGAGGAAAGGCAGGTGTACAGGACTGCCCCTGTCTCAGCCTGAGATGAGATCAGGCTGCTGTGTTGTAGATGTCTGTCTCCCTTAGCTGTGCCAATCTGGGCGGGTGTGAAGTGTTGCTGTAGACACGGGTGTTAGTTACAGTGATACTGCCCTGAAACTGGGGGTCAAGATGCTGCAAATTGGAAGACTTGCTAATTCTCTAGACTCATGTAAAATAACCTGGGCTGCCTTTTCTCATGTTGGCTCACTTCTGGACAGTTCAGTAACACACACATTTAGATTTCAAGCAGTCTTCTAAGCATGGACTCAATTGGCCAGCTAGTCCTTTTCTGTATTACATCGATCTTCTAAGCTGCTGGGTGTAGGCAGATGAAGAAACCAGTTTTTCAAAACTGGGTCTCCCCTGAAAGTACTCTGTGCAGCTGAGGATATTTATACACTTAAAATTTTCCAGTCAGTGTCTCTGGCAGAGTTGCAGATGGAGCAGTTTGATTTTAATTTAAATATTTATTAAATGCGTAGAAATAGAAGAATGTTTCAAGGCTCTTGCCACAAATTAACATGTGCTCTAAAAGATCAGAAACCTACTTTTTCTTGTGCAGTCATTAAATTTCTGCACTCTGTAGAATTTAGCTTTTCTTTTTTGCATGCCCTGTGATAGCGCTGTATTGTCACACTGGCATAAAAGAGAAGAAATGCCACCAAATTTTCAGCCAAAGCATGCTATGGAAGATTTAAACCTTGTCAAACTGGAAAATTTCCAAGAGGATGTGTTTTAACGATATAAATGTGGCATTTCAGCCGTACACTTACTGCAGTGCATGATGCTATTCTTGAGGACCTGGTCTTCCCAAGTGAAATCGTGGGCAAGAGAATCCGTGTAAAACTGGACGGCAGCAGGCTTATAAAAGTCCATCTGGATAAAGCACAACAGAACAATGTTGAACACAAGGTAAATAAAAAAACTTACTTTCTCATACAGGTGGGGGTGACATTCTGACATCCCTAAGAAACTGCTTAGGGATACAGCAAAAGACTTGCCTTTTGGCTTGTGGAGGTGCTTTGGTTTGTATTTGGAGTAGGGTGCTGAAATAGAGAAAAGACAGTTATGAACTAAAGCTCTAGTTCAACTTGCCAAAGACCTTGGATTATAAAGTAGTTATATTGGTTCCCTCATGGGACCTGACAATGTTTTATTGGGTTTTTTTTGTATGAATAGGGGTTGGTTTGTTTGTGTTTTTGTTGTTTTTCAAGTGAAGCATTTAGTTTTGACCTTAAACAGATATGCTCAGTAAGGCCTACCCTTTGCTTAGTTTTTTCTGTCGGGGTGAAATGAGAGTCTTGTGTTTGGGTCTGCTTAGCTCTCAGGGTCTCACATTTTTGAAAATCGGAGAGAGCCCAAATACTCTAGAGGAAATGTATCTTTTGTGTAAATCCTCAGTTACCTTAATCTAGAAGAAAATCATTGGCCTCAAAGTGAAGATACACAGGCAAATAGTATAGTACCTTAAGTATGTTAACTTAGAGTTACTTGTTTACACAGCATGTATAAGCAAGATTTATTTGTCTTCACAGGTGGAAACATTTTCTGGTGTGTACAAGAAGCTCACAGGCAAAGATGTGGTGTTTGAATTTCCAGAATTCCAGCTGTAAAATGCAAAAAATGGCTGAATAAACAACTATTCATATAACAGAGTTATTTCATTTAAATTTTGAATTCCATAAACACAAATGGGGATTAACTGGTTCATGGGACTTCTCTGCTGTCTGGAGAGTGACACCTGTGAATCAAAGTTTTAACTCCCCAACATTTTAATGGTAGCCCTCTTAGGTTTTTCTTGGTACTGTTGTAACACCACTGGACAAGAGTCCAGAGTCTGCAAAAAGAATTCATACTGAAGAACCCAAGTATTCCAAATCTCAACTGGGAAAATACGAAGAATTACTGTAGGGCAGTGGAACTCCTCTGAGGTTTGCACACAAGATATCAGTTGGAGACTTACATGTTCCTGACACTTCCTGAAGAAGTCAAGTAGCAGGTGGTGTGTGACTTACAAAATGTGTAGAAATGACATCTGGATAAGGGGGTTGAATTCTTATGAAATAGGTTGGGGGAGGTACAGGTTGATTTTTGAGGTAACTTAACTTGTTCTATATGGCAACATTCCTTACCAGTTCTTACCTAAAAGCAGTCTCTAGCTTCTTACCTTTCAGATTGAAATGGGAATGAATTTTTACTTCCAAGTGCTTGACTGTATCACTGGACAAAAACTGGGTTTTTTATGTATTGATCTTGCTTTTAGAAATAATTTGTTTTATACTATGTTTTACCTTTGTTCTGTACATGCTCAGTGATACAGGGAGAGGTGGGAAAAAGCTAGATGCATCAGCATCCAAAGGCTGAGTGTCTCAGAAATGCAACAGTTTTGACTTCAGTACCTGTGTTAAAGAGCCCTTTATATGAGCTCAGGGTGGTGGTGTTCATGTAAAGTTCTGAGGGAATTGTATGAATTTAGTGGTTGATTGTACTAAACATAGTATTTAGAGTGTTTAACGTAGTAGAAGACAACTAATTTTTGAAGTCAGTGGTAAGTGGAGAGCTAAGTTGGGAACAAGTTGTGTGACAGGAACACAATAACGAGCATTTTCCTACCTGAGAGTAGGTGGAGGACAAGTACCACTCGGTGAAGGTCTTTTTACCTTTCTTCCGTTTTTCATTTACAGTAGTTTTGGTTGCTTCCCATTTGACACCGCTTTAGCTATGGAGAGCTAAAAGGTTAAAACAAGTTCTGCATTGCTTTTGCATTGAAAAAATGAAGACTTCAAAATTTATGGCATGACTTAGGGCAGGATGGATAGCCCTGTGCTGTATCTGTTGGTGCTGAGAATGTGAAGAGAAGAAAAGTGTGCCCTGTTGCAATTAGTAGTTAATTTCCTGTTACTTGCTGACAAGACATGACTATTTGCACGAAAAGCAGGCTGTATCTTTGAAGAAATTTGTTTACCTTAAGGGCTTTTCCTGTCTCTTTTTCAAACTTCTGTCTCTGGAGTATAACTTAATTCCTTATTTATTCCTTGACTACTTATTGTTCATTTTGAATGATTCAGCAGAAGTAAATGCATCAGCTTCCCTTAGAATTAGATGAGAGGAGTTGGCAGGTATATAAGAACCCCAAATCCTGTCTGCTTGTGTGGAGAATAATTGTAAAAGATCTTAGAGTAGCGGACCTGTAACTTTTGAATTCAAGTTTTCATTGCAAAAATGGGCATTGTTCAGATTGGAAATGCCACCTTGTCTAGTCCCCCAAAAATACAGTCTTAATTCAGACACATTACTAAGCTTTCCTCTAAAACAGTCACAGATGGCAGCCTGTGCAAGTAGACCTTGGCTGGTGTGGGCTGAAGAAGTAGCTTGGGGAGTATTTGGAGACTTACCAGATGTTAACTACCTTTAGTTAGAGGTGGGTGAGTCTGCTGGGGCTGTGTAACCTCTGCAAGGAGAGGTGATCCTCAGCAGGCTTTGCTAGACAGCATTTCCTGCTTTATAGGGAAATGTAACTCAGGTTTCATCTCTTCATAGTAATAAAAATGTCAGTTGAGTTTCTTTGGAAGCAGTGGGAGGGGGTGAGTGGGGGAGGAGAAATCCAGTAAACTGAACAGAAAGATTGCAAATGTTCCCAGGCATTGCCAGCTGGCTATAGATTTTTCTTGGCTCTTGTTGCAAGCCCTCTTGAACTATATGATATGCAAAGGCTCACAATGGCCCCATAAGCAAATTCTTTGAGGGAAAGGATAATGCTGTCGAAGCTCTATGGCTTTTACATCAATTAAGCTACAAGGAGAGGTGAATTTTTGTAGCATAAATTACAAGGCTGTGTGTTTGCAGAAGACTTTAGTCTTAATTTACCTTTATTTACAGACTCCCTCGTGTGTTTGTGTCAGTGATGCAGTCAGACAACTCCCTCTGTCCCTTGACAAGCATACTAAGTGCATGCCTGCAATCTGGAAAGTCAGTTTGATGCCATCTGGTCAAGTGCTAATGAGGCTGCTGGAATGCTGGTGTCAAATGTTACCTTAACCTAAGCAAACTCCATGTGAGATGATGCTAGACTTTTCCTATACCTTTCATATGCTGGCACAGTTGAACTCTGAACATGTGAGTGATCATGAGTTTTATCAGCTGCTCTGGGTGAAAATGTGGTGGGGCATTTTGTCACAAGGGACTGCAGCAGTAATTTGGGGATAGTACCAATGTGTAAAGACAGCCATATGCTGAAGTTCTTTCCTGTAGTAGCTCCAAATGACAACAAGGGCTTTACATCTGTTAAGTGCTGATGAGACTTCCACTTGATCTTAAGGCTTCAATTATTTCATATTAATCCTTTCACAATGTCTTAAAATACTTTTGCCTATGAGGGGGACTGATCCCTGCTGATTTTTCTTTGTAAAGGTGTATAGATGTGTCACAATTGTAGTAGTGTAACAGAACTTGCTTGAAGTTTTGGGTGGTAAGTGCTTGTATTAATAGGGCAACTTGATGTGTGATAACCATCATGTCCGAGTAGCCCCTCTTGAGTGTAAGTGGGAGCAACTGGTGAGTTTCAGTGTATGATCTCATGCCAAGCAGCATTCAAAGGAAATCCTATCACTCCTGCCTTGTGGACTGAAATAGTCAATTTCCTATTCCTTTGTTCTTCCTGAATTTTCAAATGGTAGGCCTGAGTTTGAGTCTCAATTACATCTGAAGGTCAGAGTAATGCTGAAAAGCTACACCTTTTTCCAGTGGGATGTGCTTTCTAGGCCACTGGGCGTTTATCAGAATGACAGGAAAAAGATGACTATTACAGAAAGTTATGAAGCCTCATAAAATGAAGGCTGGTGGTGAGGCTGAGGGAACATGAGTTTTTCTGTCTCCAGTAGGGGCTGACTGCAGCACTGGTTGGTGTGAATAATTCACTGCAGTTTAACAAAGTGCCTTTGCCCTGCCCCTTACTGCCTGCCTTGAGGGTGCTAGTGTGAAAACCCTGCTGACATGAACATCTATGCACTAGTGCTCTGTTCCCTACAGAGCTACAAGTAAAGGACCTTATTTATGTATTGCCATCAAGTGGAGAAACTTTGTTGGATTTGTTAGGTCTATGAGTTCCTATATCCCCTCTTCTTCCTTCCAGTTACTCTGTCTTGTTTTCAGGAAAATCATTCTTATGCTTAGTGTCATGCAGTTGCTACTTGGTGTTGCTAAATGATTAATAGCTAACATTTCTAATTATTGTATATTGAGTTAACATGTGTGGCTCAGTTGTGATCTGCCCCTGGAGCAGCAAAAGTAAAATCCAAGCACTGAGAAGATTGAAGTAGAAGGCCAGGTTTTACACAGTTGCAAGTAAAGTTAATACTGTGTTGTTGTGGCCATACTCATCTTTCCCACTGTACATCTCGTGTACTGCACAGAAGAGGCAGGAAGGAGAGCTTCAGAGGGCAGAGGTGCTGGGGTAATGCTAAGATGTTCAGGTGACAGATGGCTATCTTCACAGAGAGAGATCTGTAAGCTGTGTTTTACCGGGACTGTCTTAACGCTTAATAAAGTTGTTTCCTATTTTCTTGGGTAAACAGATAGTGTTATGTGAAGCAAAGGGAATAGGACACATCATTGTTCTGCCCTGGGAGAAAGGAGGGGTTGCACTTGGCATGCTTGTGTGCATGTCTGTACCATGGAGGAGTCCTATCTGCTGCATCTCCTTGCCACTTTAGGAGTTTCTTGGGGTGCCCTGGGAGGCCTAATAAGGGCTGGTTAGTGAGGCAGCTCTTTCATTAGCTAGAACAACATTTGTGATGGCCTGCAATAAACTAAGCTCCTGCAATTGAGTTCAGATGCTTATTTTTTAAAGAGTTTGGGTGTTGGAAATAGTGATCCTGCAGAAAAATCTGATTGGAAGATGCTGATACCATTGGATGCTTTGCTAAACCAAAGGGAAAATCAGAGCCTTGTCATCTTCTCTTAAGATTTTTTAATAACCATTGTGTTTTTAAATAGGTATTGTGTTTAATCCTCTTCTAGATACACAGATAATGCCAACTGACTATGCAAAGTGTAGAAAAATTTTCCTGGATGCTCCTAAAATGCATTAGCATATTTTCCCTGTTTCCTAAAAACTTTTTATTGAACTTTTATAACCAGTTGGATTTTATCTGCATCGTTTTGGTTTGGTTTGATTCCAAGAATTCTACTTGTAGTTGTCAATGTGGTATTTAACCTAAATTTAAAGGGTGAAGAAAAGTTGTGTAGTGGGTCAAGCTGAAGTAGCTGGCCTAACTGGTGTCTTGCTGTATAGAAACGTAGAATGGTTTGGGTTTCAAGGGACCTTAAGGATAATCTACTCTAGCCCTCCTTGCTGTGGGCAGGGATACCTTCCTCTAGATAAGGTTGCTTAAAGCCCCACCCAACCTGGCCTTGAGCATCTCCAGAGATGGGCATCCACAACTTCTCTGGGAAACCTGTTCCAGTTTCTCACTAGTGTCACAGTAAAGAATTCACAGTATCTCATATAAACCTGCCTCTTTGAGTTTGAAGCCTTTCTGCCTGGCCCTATCACTACATGTGCTCGTAAAAAGTCCCTCTCCAGCTTTCTTTTAGCCCTGCGCCCTTTAGGTAATGGAAGGTGCTCTAAGGTCTCCTCAGGAGCTTTCTACAGGCTGAAGAAGCCTGACCCTTTCAGCCTGTGTTCATTAGAAAGGTTCTCCAGCCCAGCTTTGATCATGTTCATTAGAGCTCCTGTGGACTCATTCCAACAGGTCCACATTTTTATGTTTGGGGTCTCAGAGCTGGATATAGCACAGCAGGTTGGTTCTCATCAGAGAGGAGTAGGGAGACAGAATCAACCTGCTGTCAGTGTTTCTTTTGATGCAGGCCAGGATGTGGTTGGATTTCTGGGCTGCAAGGGCGCATGGCTGGCTCATGTTGAGCCTCTTATCAGCCCACAAGTTCTTCTCAGGGCTGTTCTTGATCCATTCTCTGCCCAGTCTGTGCTTATTCTTGGGATTGCCTGCCCCAGCCCATGTGCACTTGGTGTTGTTGAACTTCATGAGGTTTGCTCAGACCCATCTCTTGAGACTGTCAAAAGAGTCTTCCGTTTCCTTGCAGAGGGGACTCACATTTTCTTTAGTTTTCATTTTATTACCAATGTACCTAAAGAAACTTTTCTTGTTGCCTTTGATATTCCTGGCCAGATTTAAGTTTCTCATATTAGCTTTCCTAACATGATCCCTTGTTCAGACAATCTCTATCCCTCCCAGGCTACACATTCTTGCTTGCACCCTCTTCAGGCTTCCTCTCTGTGCTTCAGTTTGTCCAGGAGCTCCTTGTTCCTCTGTACTGGTACACTGTGGCCTCTGAAGGCTGTCCCTCTCTATCCAGCAAGGCTTGCTGAAAGACTTGGGAATCAGCTCTTGAAGTGCTACAGTGTCCCAGACAGGCATGTTAACATAATAAAGAACTTAATGACCAGAGGCTCTTATGATCTGGTGATGACCTAAGCTGCTCCCACGTGGTCCATGCATCAGTACCCCAGTTTGCACATAGTAGTAGCCTGATTTAGATTATGCACCATTATGGCTACACTGTTTCCAATTGGTTTTTGGGGTGGGAAAAGGTTACTTACTCCCTTCTGTATGTGAACTATGCCTTTCTCTCTCATGTGAAAGAAAACCATGTGCTTGTTTATTCTCCCTTTTCTAGAGAAAGCACTTTCACTGCATATGTAGTGTTTGCCCTTTCCTTTTGAACTCTGGTCATTTATGTTTGTTTTCTTTTCTGCTTCCCCAGTGTTGAGTCCTACCTTTTCTACCAACTTTTCCTGAATGGCTCTATTTCTCTATTGAATTCTGTTTCTGGTCTCAAAGTTATTTTCCTGTGTTTACAGGGAGAATAGATATGTATGTAAATGGAGTTGTCTTCGCCATGGTAATATGATCTTCAAAGGCTTGGACTACAGTCACTTTGCTACATTCTTTATATAAAATGTTTGTCTTGGCAAGTTTCTGCCAACAAAGTGCTGTGAAGGCCCAGTCCTACTAATTGCCTTCTGCTCCCACTGAACTGATGGGGCCTGTATGCATTAAAAATAGACTTTACAATTAAAGTTGCATGGTCCTTAGACTGTTATGTTAATGTTCTACCATTTTGTTCATTTTCTACCTTTCTTTACTGAGGTAATCTACTGAGGAAGAGATCATTAGCTCTTAACTTTTCATGACCATTTGGTGTGTGTTAAATACAGGAGTCCATAGCAGCTGAGGTGGATAACCAGGTTTCAGTCCAACATGGAAACCTGTATGTAGGTAGTCCACAGGGAGTCCTGAGTTTGAGGCATCACTGTCTCTTTTTGTACCTGTTTTTTTCTTTGCCATTAAAGCTGGTCAGTTTGTGCTGTGGACTAATAAAATGGGCTGTCATGGGCAAGAAGGTTGCACAGGCTTAAGGAGAGGTTTGCTGGGAGAGAGGATATGTGATGTCAAGAGCAAAGCAGGAAGAGAGTACATCAGTACTGTGCCATCAGCTTGTACTGCAGGCCCCACCACAACACAAAATTCTCAATGGAGTGGACCTACACCTCAAAAGAGATTGGAAAAGTGATAAAGTGAGCACACAGATGGTTCTATTGCAGCTTTCTCTAGCCCCTCAGTCTAAAACCTTTTCTGTGTTCTGATACTTTCTTGATCTTGGGACTGGAAAATGGAATGTCCTGCTACTGCCCTTAGCTCCTGTCCTGGTTTTCAAATAAGAGGTCACATACTGGGGGTTACCCAGCCTCCCAGCCCACTGGGTGCTTGCTTAGAGCATGACCCCTCAAACATTACCTGGAAGAACAGGGAGGAGGGAACAGTGGCACGAGATGGATGGTGACAGATGATTCACACAATATTCACACAAGTCTTACAAATGCAGCAGCTTTGCATCAGAGGGTATTAATTGATATAGTCACAAGTGGTACTCTCTATTTGTCCTGGAAATTGAGAGTGAAGCCATTTATATCTGTTGAAGTATAAACTGCTGTAACTGAGGGGGATGTTCTCTAAATCCCACTTCCCAGAATCAGCTGGCCCCAGTTTTTTGCTGCTTGAATGTATATGGAGTCTTGTGGTTTATCCAGGCCTCAAACTAGTCTAGGTGTTTAAGGTAAAAACCAGAGTTGTACGACTATTTAGAAGCTATAGTGAAATAGTGCTAAATTTGTATCAAAAGATGTTTTTAAAAAAAACCCCAAAAAATCATGAAGATGCCTGCCATGTGGATAATTTAGCATTTACATTGTTGTGGGGTGTTCAGACATGGCTCTGAAACAGTTGCCTGTTTTACTCAAGTCAAGAATGCTGCAGCCAGTTGCAAGAATAGAGAGAATTTCAGCAAGGGGAGTGTGTTAATTATCCACACAAGATAGTCACATTCAGTGTTGTGTTTCATGTGTTTTCATATCTCCTGAAGCAAAGGAAGTGTTGTGCTGGGGCAATGTGCATGCATGGCTTAGAGCTGAATAGATGTAAATGGTTAAAAAGGGGTTCTCTGCTAGAGAGGAGGAGGGGAAAGTAAGTGTGCATTCCCAAAAAAGTACATTCCCAAAATAAAAAGCTTACATCATGGACCTCTTCAGTTTTCCCACACTTCTTCCCTAATTATTGTCCTGCAGGACAGCTGATCTATTTCAAACAGGAAGCTGTTTACAGATAACACTTGCAACTGTTTTGTCTGATTTGTTGAACTGTCAAAAAGAAAAAGACAACCTCTTTTCAAATTAAAAACTGTCAGACTTCTGTAAACATCAGCAATGAGGTTCATCTGTGCAGTGTCCCTGCAGGCACAGAGCATTGTGCAGTTCCCATTCTCTCAGCAGCCATAAGGTAAGAGACTTCTATGCTTTCACTCTGTAAAAATATGTAGAAGAAAAAGTCTGGATATTTGTTAGGGAGTTGCTTTGTATATGGCAAAATATAATTGACAGTACTGCAAATAGAAGTGGAAGGTAAAGGAAAAAAGAACTCGCTTGAGTCTGTTGGATAACATTGGACCTTTCTATTGAGAAGCACCCATGTGGGTTAGATCACTGAATGCCAGTTTAGCTTAGGGGAATTGTATTTAAAATGTACAAATTCCATTGGAAGACCTTGCTTTCCTTTTAACAGGAAAGGAAAAACAGTGCATGAATTTTAACTTTTCCTACAATTGAAACTTAATTTACTTCATTCTTGAGTTGTAATTCCTAGTAACAGACACAGGCAGTTGTTTGTTTCCCACTTGAAAAGTGATCTTTTAATACACTGCAAAGCAGAGAATGAAGACTGGCATTGCAGAAGTGAAGGTCCAGTAAGGGCTGGAATTACATCGCTGTGTAATTAAGAGCAGTCTCGGTGAAAACCAAATCGTGTAGGGAGTGGTGCCATGCAGAAATGCTTAGTGAGATATAAGAGTGTATAATGATACAAAATCTTTGTCCAAGTGAGCAGGAATGAGTGAGAGGAAGTCATACTTTAGTGAGCAGCAGGGCACATGCCTGCTTTTCAGTCATGAGCTATGAAAACTAGGATTCATAATGGACTTGCAAGTTTCCATTCTGACTTCTGTGCATACATACGTGTAAATTTTGGAGTGGGATTGTTTTCTAGCAAAATCAAATCACTGTAAAGAATACCTAACTTTACTTGTCATACTGTGAAACGGAGCAGCTGGATTGGAAGTACTCTGAATTTCTGTATTGGTGTAAAACCAGTACGCTTTGATTCTTGGGTATTGAAATATTTTTTAAATGTTGCAAATATAAAAACTGCTGCCTGATGTTTTCCTCTCTGTAGCTGAGGTCTTTGTATTTCATATCTATGTGATTGTTTACCTGGTTATGAATATTTAAGGTATTATAGTAATCAGAAAATATAAAAAAACCCACTGATTTAAAGGTGGCACAATGATACTATCCCTAAAATTTTAGTATGTTACTGATGCAGCATAAATAAGGTGTGCCAGTGTTGTAGGCAAGAAATAAGACTTCCAAGTTAAATATTCCTTTTAAAAATGTTTGGACTGTGTTTCATAAAATTCTTAGATGTATCTGTTAAAATTAAATTTTTGTTTTAGTTAATACATGAAAGATAATGGGTAAGTTAAATTCATAGTAAAAATAAAACATGGCATAGTCCTACAGTCAACAGAGAATTGATCTGTGGAAGCAGCAGAAATCTGTGCAATTTCTAATTGTATGCTATATTCAAGGCTATTTTTTTCTGATTATTTTGAGTGATTTTTCACTGTTTCTAAAGCTCTTTTTAGTAATCTCTAGGGCTGTCCAAAAATTTTTGAACCAGAATCCTTTTGAAGTAGGAAGACTTTTGGCAGAGTAGCTTTTTAAAGAAAAGTGTCAGTTTTCTGGGATAGTTCAGTTCTTTTGTCAAATTATTTTGGCTGAAAACCAGGAGAGTTTAGCCAAAAATATTCTCATGGCGTCTCTTGGGAAGTGTAGTTTGTGCTTTGCACTGCATTTCACTACTGGCTGAACTTCGCAGCTGAACCACACTTCCCGTAAGGCTGTGTGGTCAGGGTCTTGCTATTTTAATTTCTCTTGATTAAAAGAGTGATAGGATGTATTTTGGAAAAGTTAGTCTTGTGAAAGAGGCACAGACTGGGCTCATAAGGCATCAGCTGGTTGATAAGTAGTTGGCAGCTTCTTAAAATTTGAGTGTTTCCTTCTGGTTTGCACGAGCCACAGGCCATCCTGGATTTCAGCCATGAGAGTAGGACCCTTACAGAGAGTGTCAGCAGAAGGTTTAAAGCCTTTTGTTGGTTTTGGCCATGCAAACACCTGTACAAGGGACAGAATATTTAACATTTCTAAGGCTTTGTTAATACTTTTGCCAACTTTTGTGCTGAAAATGTTCCATTTTATATATTTGGAACTGAAAAATGCAATGGAGTATTACTGGATGTTAAGATTTTTTAAGAACTCTTAAGTCAAGAGGAAAACAACCTACTAGAAGCCTGATGCTTTAAAAAGAGGTGCTTTTGAAAATACAGCAGGGTGTCATCTCATCCATCTAAGTGGCTCTTCATAAAAATGTAGTCCTGGGTCATTTGCCTATAGTTGTAGAACATACTTGTAGTCAAGAAAAGAACAGAAGTTGGTCTGCTTGAGCACTTCACCAGTGCACCAATCTCTTAATTTTTCCATAGAATCCAAGGATCCTCATCTTCTGGGACTATTTGGATGCTGCCCCCTCAGAACTTTATCAGAAGATTGGTTAGGAGGTCCATAGGGTGTCCTGGAGGCCAGGACAGAGCACTCTGACAAATGGTGGGGATTTATAGGGTTTACATTAGTTTTCTTCTGCACTGAATCATAGAATGGTTTGGGTTGGAAGGGACTTTTGAAGATTTAGTCCAACAGCACGTGAATGAAACATAGACATGAATAAATAGTTTCACAGTGCTGCAAGCTGGATGTCAGACTCCAAAGCAAGAACTGGCTATGCTTATGTGCAGTATGGAGTGAGTGGAGGAGAGCTAAGGGCTGAAGAAAGTGACTCAGCACAGTCAGACAAGTGTGTGATGGCCAAAATAGCCATCCAAAAATTGCTTCTGAGAGGTGTTCCATAATTCTCTATTCTGGATGTGGAAGGGGATCAATTCACCATCTTTAGTTCCAAATGCTGCAGGAACTAGAGTTCTGGAAGGTGGAAGCTTTCCTTGAATTTGTGTGCTGGGTTGTTCTTCAAGCATGGAGATTTTGAAAAATGGCTCTGAGAAAAACATTTTTTACAGTTCTCTTTGAGGACTAGACTGCTGCTACCCAGCTGTCACATAACCTGCTGTCTGGGGCCACTTACCTGGGAAGTAGGAGGTCTAAATGCAGCTCATTGCATTGCTCTGCTCTGCTCCAAACCTCCACCTCCCATCTGCTGGAAAGGTGCCCTTGTAACTAACCAACATAGTAATTTGGTATGCTTGGAGGAGACTGAATGATTTTGGATGCATTTCCTTGATGGAAATGTGCTAGGTGGGAGAAGAGTGTCTTGTTATTCTCCTCAGGTAAGAAGTTGACCATCTCTGGTCTGTGCAGTAAGAAAAGCTTAGACACCCAAGTTTTTTCCACAAAACCACAGGAACCTCCTACCTCTTAAGGTGGCTGGATTGTGAGGAGATGGATTTGGATGCTTTGTTTAAATCTGGGATGAGGCCACAGAGAGAGATTGAGGTAGTGCTGCCAGTGTTGAACTTAAGCAGCTCTCACTTGGAGGTTTAGGGGTGAAAAATGGGAGAAAAGGATGGAGAATGGAAAGTGCTTCAGCTTTGGTTGTTTTTTGAATAGGGGCTTTGGAGAATGAAGCTGTATCCATAGATGTGCTTAAGTTCCTGCTGCCCATCTTTGGTCTTAGGTATGGTTCTCTCTGTGATTATTTTATTTTTGTCCTGTTTGCTAGTTGTAGAATAAGCATAAATAATAATAATAATAACAACCTTCAGATAGCACTCTAAGATTTTCTGTTTGAGTGATTTTCAGGCTTAGTTATGGACCACTCCAAAATATGCTGTGATGGTGCTGATGATTTTAGCAAATACTGAAACTTGCTGACAGTAGGTATGCATTTATTAATCTTTAATGGACTCTTTAGAAATGGTCTATGGGCCTCCAAGAGACCATGGATGAGATGTTGAATGCCAGGGTCAGTCTGCTGTTTGGAAGGACAAAATTATAAAAGTGATTGTATAATTTTAATTTTACTTATTTATAGAACTTTTTCTTGTCATTAGAGAAAGTTTTTTAAGAGATCTAATTTTTGGGAATTAAAACAAAGAGCTTTAAAAATTTTGATAAGAAAGAACCAGCACTGTTAGATGGCACAGTAATAATAGCCAATGAATTAAAAACATCAGACAAGAATCTAATTAAGGCCTATCACAGGAAACAGGGGGAAAAAAAGCCTTATTAAATAGGAAAAGAAAAATGTGTATCAATGGGCTTTGTCAGAATGGTGTTAGTAAGAAAACAGGTCTCTGATGGCTCACTGGAGTGGAGTTATGTTCAAGAAATGTTAAGGAGACAGATGCTGAGAACATGTGGAAGAGCAAGAGAAGGACTGATGGTGCATGCTGAGGAGATTCCAGAGTGCTGGATCTGCCAGCAGCACCTACAGATGCACCTGCAGTGTTTCTCTCTAGCTGTGCAATGACCTTGCACGTTAAAGCTAATGTAGAGATGAAATGAGATGATGTAGTGATAGCCATACTATGAGCTGCAGCTGAAAAAAAAAAAAACCTCTTTATTGGAGGTTATCTTCCTTTGCTGTTTAGCATCTTCATTAATTGGATTTGTTCAGCCAGAAGAGGTTTTGGGGTGACCTAATTGCAGCCTTCCAGTACCTGAAGGGAACTTACAGGAAAGATGGAAAGGGACTTTTTACAAAGTCCTGTTGTGACAGGACAGGGGGAAAGGGCTTCAAACTTTAGATAGTAGAAAAAGATTCTTTACTGTGAGGCTGTGGAACTGGCTGCCCAGAGAAGTTGTGGATACCCCATCCCTGGAAGTGTTCAAGGCCAGGTTGGAGCTCTGAGCAACCTGGTCTAGTGGAGGGTCCCTGCCCATGGCAAAGAGGTTGGAACCAGATGATCTTTAAGCTCCCTTCCGACCCAGGCCATGATACGATATATAATATATATGATATGTCAGAATTGCCTTTTATGCAATTGTGTAGTGTCAAAAACTCTCTATTGTCATTCTCTACTTTTATGACTGTTGTACAAAACCTATAGGGGGGCTTGGTGGGCAACTGGCCTCCAGCCATGGTCAACCCACCACGTCTGACAGACTGTCCCTAAGCAACTCCATATTTAAACATGCGTTTGCCTAGTTATGCTT